CCTTGATTAACGAAATACAGAGCCAGAACCTGGACAACGCGATCTTCCGGCCCTCGAGTTGACCTGCATGGTGTTGCGTTAAAACACGCTCTGGCGGACATGGTCTGAATTGAAGGAACGGAAATGATGCCTTCGGCCGGCTTCAGCACTTCATGTTGACTACCACAAGATCATTGTCGAGAGGTGTTATGGCGAAGATCAATAAATGACTTGAAAAGGGATATGCCCTTGCGAGGTGTGGCAACTTCGATTACGACAAACTATGGAAGATTGGGTTTGATACGCTCAACTGAAAGTAGGGACTTTTAGAATCTGCACGACGAGAATGTGGACTGCCCTTTTAAGGCAATGTGACGTCCTTTTAAGGCACTGGCAGTGACGTCACATTGCCTTAAAAGGGCAGTCCGCGTTCTCGTCGTGCAAAATCTAAAAGTCCCTAATCACACTTGAAATAGGGCAGCTAACAGAAAAGCAAAGCCATGATTGGGTTTGTAGAGGATAGTTCCTGGGTCTCAATATTACCTTACAAAGCTACTGCGTATGCGCTATGTGCGTGAACCACTTTTGTACAGCTTGCCAAAGAAAGAGATATTTTCCAACTTTCTTTCTCTCCTTTCTTCAATATTGTTTCATTCTTTCTTTCTTTCTATCTTTCTCAATTTGTTTTTTTGTTTGTTAGTGTGTTTGTTTGTTTGTTTCTTCCTTTCTAGTTCTTCGTTCCCTTTCTGCAATGCCATATGCGAGAAAACACTAGTTTCAAGCATTTACAAAGTCACTTCATGACGGCTTTAAACTTCAAATCGTCTTCAACTCCGTCTTATACTATGCATATGATTCGCTCCCCTTAACCCACCTCTATTCACTTTTCAAAACATATATTTATATTGCGTTTCATAAATTATTTAAAAACATATATTTATATTACATTTCTTTTATATTATGGAAGGTAATATTGAGACCCAGGAACTATCCTCTACCGATTGGTTTTGCAGAGAGATATCAAGTCTTATTTCAAAGTCCGGACACGCAACACACAGATGATGACTCACGATGACCTTTTCTGTAACTTGAACTTGGAACCTGGGAATGATATTGTTCACACAAAATCGATTAGAATGAGATACTAGTGTAATGTGGATATCGTGCTGCACTAGAGAGTTCAACAACAATTATCCAATATTTTTCCTTGATTGTGGGTGTGCGGGTGGGTAGCTCCAATCACTCAACAATGAGTTTTATTTTTAGTGCAGTGTTCATCACTTGCTTGTAAACAATCGCAGTGTATGCGTCAACTATAATGGTTGTAATAGAGTTGCTATTTTTTTTTTCTTTTGCAGTATCTGAATTTTAGGCTAGTGGACTATATTTCGTTGACATGTCGGGTTTCACCACAATAGCTTATGCATTTTCTTCAAAGTTGGTTAATGATATATGTTTGGATATAGATATTTACTTTGTTCGAATGTGACTCTGTAGTTCTTTGCTATTGTGTGATGTTCGACACCAGTCGGCTGCCATTTCGTATACAAATATATTTGAAAACCTCTTATATTTGATGGAAGTAAATACCAATGTAGACTGAACAATGTGTCGTTTTCCTATCATAGAAGTTTCTACCAAAGTACCAAAAGGCAACTTATTTCCTTCTGAGTAATTTTGAAGAGACTGTTTAGTCCGTCAGAAAATTACTAAACCTAGGGTTGTTGCAGCCCTCTTGGAGGGGGAGGGGTCTTTAGTTTCATGTGCACAACTTAGGGGAAATATTCCAAACTGGACATGAATGAATTACAAAGTTTCAACTCTTCACATTTATTTCTGGATAAGAGTGAAATGGAATGAGAAGAGAATATGAAATGCAAATTTGCAGACAGCAGTCTTCTTAGTATTCATTTTGTCTGGTTCCCTCTGGCTACGACCCTGATCAAACCTCTCTAGGATCTCTCGTTCTTGTAATACCTTAGGAACTAGCCGAAGTGCCGAGAGGGGGAGGAAGGGGGGGGGGGCTGTTTTCTCATGGTCATTAATGGCCTTCTCGGAATTTCGCCATCGGATCACGAATTAGACCCTGTTACAATGAGAAAGGGATTTGCAGCTTTGGAAGACCTTCACGCAAATTCACGATAAGTTCATGAAATCGAGAAAGGCATTAAGACACCACTTGCGAGAGACATGTGTTGATGCTACGTGGAGTGGATGGAAAGCTTTTCAAAGGCCCACAGTTTAAACATCCCGTCTGCACTATCAATTAGGGGTATGCCCGACGGTTCCCTTCCACAAGTTGTGTTGGGAAATGTGGCGTTGCGCCAGGGGCATCCACCTCCTACCTTCCTTCCCTCCCTCGAATGTCAAGATCGAATGAAGGAAGGAATAGGGAGAGAGAGAGAGAGAGAGAGAGAGAGAGCGAGAAAGAGAGAGAGAGAGAGAGAGAGAGGGAGAGAGAGGGAGAGAGATGGACTGAGAAGATTAAAAGTTTCTATCCTAAAAGGGCCATGCGTAGAGGTGTTGTAGTTTAAATACTTGACTTGAAATGCGAAGGCCGTGGGTTGGATCCCCGACACCGCATAATTGTCCTTTGGCAAGGCATTAATCTACGTTTGCCACTCCATACCCATGAGGGAAGAGGGACCCGGGATGACAAAAGTCTGTAAGTCATTGCTATATGCCCTCACGATGATCTAAAGTAGGAATACTCCCCAGGGAGTGGAGATGTTGCACATTGTGCTTGTATGAATCCGAGACGGTACTTTGTATTAAGCGTTATAATATTATTATCATCATTACACCACCTCCCACATTCGCACCTTTCGCCCTATATAGTTGGAGTAAGAATTTACACCCCGCCCCTCCCCTTCCACGGAATGCTGACTGGTCTCGCGCTTTTTAACCACTAGACGCGACACATGGTAGTTCGAAAAATGTACTAAAACTATTCAAACTGAAAAAGAGGCTGATTTTCCCCCCCTCTTTCGTTCGAAATGTTTGTTGAGAAAAGAGCAGCGATCCCCTCCCCCACCCCCTATTGCTTCGGAAAGTTCTTGCACACCACGATCTATACAACGCCGATCTTTGAAGCGTTTTTTAAAAGCATTAACGTCTCCATAATCGAAAGAACTATCCAAATTGAACAAGTCTTTGATGATGCTAAATCGTTTACTAATAGCATAATGACATGCTCCAACAACAGCGAATTATGATGGGAATTTAGCTATCAAATTCGATTTGGAGCAGTTTAAAAAAGGCCCTCGCGTGAAAGATTCATAAGCTCACTCGAGCCGCGAGCGCATCAGAATATAACATTGAAACATGAAACTTTCTCTGAGGGGCACCCGGGTTATTAAAGATAAGTAGGGCAGACTGGAGTGAAGAGAGCGTGAAACACGGCACGTCTTTGGTGACAATCCTCGTTCCCCCTGACTTCCTCTATTTAATAGATACAAATCGAGATTGCCTGGGATTTCTTTTCCAGCGCAGACAAATCAAGGAGAAATTGGCAGCTTGGTGCTTCCTGCATTAAATGGTTTCGCGCGTTATCACCAAGCTGTGTCTCACCGAGGAGTTATATGGTCTCACAGTGTGATGTGGGTAACGATGATGAAACGCTGTCCACACAGACAGTTTTCGCAAATTATTAGCACTAAATCAGCCTTCCAAAGAGAAAGGGTAAAACTAAGTGAACCGTAGTGCTTTCAATTCGGTAATATGGTGGAAGTAAGTCGTGTAACTCCCGTCCTTTCCCGATATTTTATTTAGGGGGTGACCATTTTGTTGGTGGGGGCACATGCGTCCCTGCATCCCTTTCGTAGCAATGCAAGTCAATAAGCAAGTATAGTTTCAAACTCTCTATATGATCAAACTGTGTGTGGCAATATGTTGCTTAGACAGTAACTTTGACCTATGTAAACTATGTAAACCCTATATGGTTAACCCTACATTCCAACCCATCAACCTTAAACAAAATATGTAATAGTTCACCTGGTATGTGGCATCTTGGAAAACTGCTTCGTTTTCAAGAACATTAAGAATGTGTTATTAGGTGATAACAAACTCATTTTCAGCAGAATAGTACATCCGCCACAAAAATCATACTTAAGAGAGTTGGGAGGAAACCATTGGAGTACCTTGTCTCTCCTTAGCTTGTTCCAACTTTCGAACAGTTCTCACCTGAGTGCAGCGGAAAATACGCTTGGATTCCCTGAAGAATAATTCACTGTATCACTTATCAGCTGATGGAATGGCTAGGTCACGAAAAATAAATACATTCACTGGTGCAACGCCCTACTGTGTAATATATTAAACAATATGAAGGTATAAACATCAGAACGTGGGAATAAGGTTCTTCCACAATAGCCATATTTACTGACAAGGCCAACCCATTAAGAATCAAGAAATTGCTCTATATTGCGGAAAACTTACGATGAGATCGAATAAATACCTTTCAATGAAACTTCAATCCCTTGAAACATGCTGAACATCAATTCGATGTTTCCGATGATTAACCTAAATACTGTACAGGACATCCGTTAATTGCTTCTCAATTTGAATGATGTCAATAGGAAGGGATGAAGGTGTGTCAAAAGAGTGTTTTAATTATTCGATGGAGAGATAGAGAGAGAGAGAGAGAGAGAGAGAGAGAGAGAGAGAGCTATAGAGAGAAAAACGAACAAATAGAGTCACAATTGTTATTTGCGAATGCTTTCAAGAACGTCCTTCGAAAGTTTATGCGCATTTTCTCCAAATTTGATACACCGCAGTTATTTGATTGACGTGTCGGGTCAAAACGGCAATGGTTAATTCATTTTTAAAATTCGCCCCGTAAAGCAATCCAATAATTCAACATCAAGCAATCGTTGTGTTTCCTGAACATGCTGTACTTACGTTGCTGATTCCATTATAATAAGGAATTTTAGGTGAGTAGGCAACTTTCTCTGGTTCACACTCTTAATCACGCACCCCCCACGAAATATCTAGTTGTGTTCAAATTTGCTAGTATTCATTTTCCACCCTATCTTCTTTTCTTTCCCAACTTCACAGGATCCTCATCGACAGTACTCGAAGCAAGTCTGTGACGCACGATAGAAGTAGACAGGTGAGTTATCAATATATAGATGTATCGACTACATACCCGAAAACAGTGATTTTATTTATTTGATTTGATTTGATGGTCACCTACTTCTCTGACCTGGTGAGCGTTTCACGAAACTTGTCATTAGTAACAAATTACAGTTTCTGTTAAAAGCTACTGAAATCCTTGCTTCTGATTGGTTATCAGCAGATTTGTCACTGATTTTTGTCATTTTGTCATTGAGGATTTTTTTTAAGGGTTGAGGTTCGAATCCTGTCCCGGTGCTAATGCCCTTGGCTGAGGCATAAGTCTCAGAACAATCGACAAAACTTTCTTGAATGTTTTTAGAACGGAATTCATTGCCTAGAATAATGAGCAAGCTATTGATGCCAAAATGATAGTGGGGTAATTATATCAAGGAGCGTCCATGTTATATCAAATGCATTACTAGTAGTTCAGTTTTTGAGTGGAGGTGTCGTGGTATAGTGGGTCATTCGATTGACTCTCAATCTAAAGGTTGAGAGTTTGAATCCCAGTCCGGCAGTTCTTTGGCCAGACATTAATTTTTTGTCCACATTTGCCACTCTCCACCCAGGTGTAAATGGGTACCTGTTACTGCTTGGGGTAATAATGATTGCATGGCCCATGGACTTACAAGTAAGTCCATGCATGGCCCTAAAGAAGATGAAAATGCGGCTTCCCTGGTTAAACACAATTATTATTTTAATTACAACCAGTATTAGTAATTTATTATTATAATTATTAGTGTACTATTATTACTGTTATTATTATCATTAGTATTATTATTACTGTAATAATCGCAGGAAAATAGCTAATTCGCGGGATAATCTACACTCTATCTGGCCTAGGAATATAATAAGCAGTTTAAAGACCGCCATACCTTTCTCTTAGGATATATGACCGCATCACACCAAAACCAAGAGGCACACATCATATACATGAAATGATATCAGGTAGCAAAATATGAATTGCTTTGCTTTGCTTTAAAATATCATATCCCTCTCTGGAGAATGAAACACATTGATATTGATATCGCCCTACTTTCTTTGCAAGTAAAGCGGAGTCACTTCATTTGTTATTTGAGCTAATGTAAATATATTAAAGAGTCACCTACTTCTCTGACCTGGGACCCGTTTCACAAAGTCTTTTTCCAATGACAAATGACAAATATCAGTGACAAGTCTGATGATAACCAATCAGAAGCAAGGATTTGAGTAGCTTATAACAACAACTGTCATTTGTCGCTGATGACAAGTTTTGTGAAACGGGTCCCTGGTGAGCATTGCTGTGGGAGTGATGGGGGTGTATTATCAATGTGAACGGATATGATCTGAAAGTCAAAGTGCCCCCTGAATGTATCCGGGGCTCTCGTATTTCACTTCAAGCTGCCATTGTGTTTAATATGCACCGTTGTCTTTTTCTTTCTCCTTTAAAGTCCGTGTCGAACTCTCTCCAATGCGTTCTTACGATAATGATAATAGTAGGTTTTTTAATTTTTGTAATAAATGTAATGCTTCCTTGGAGAAATTTAAATTGTTAAAACATATTTGATCTTTATTTACTGGGTGTAAGCTACAAACATGTTTAAACAAAGTCATAGTGGGGTTTTGTATAACGCGCATATCTGTCATACTTGATACCCGTGGCGCTCCGCAATTACCCCGGCTTTAGCTTGGCTGCCATTACGGTACTCTAGTATTTCAAGGAATTAATTCTTGCCAAGATGATAATAAAAACATTTTCTTTTCGTGATCGTTTGATTGACATGGAATCCTCACCGGTTATCATCAACGACCTCTCGGCTTTGATCGGGTCTAAATCAGTAGGTTTTAAAAATCAAACTCTTAATCCAGGCAAGATTATCGTTGAATTCCCGCTGTTGAGAAATAGCTTGGTCCTCACATATACTTTCTTTTACATAGATCTTGTCTTCCCCCAAGAGAATTCATGTTTTTCACATATTCTTCACGATAATTCGAACATGAGGCAGTCGAATCGTCGTTCATCCACCCATGATATGAATAAATAATATGCGAAAATAGCTTTTCCTTGACTTCGCACTCCGGAGGTTACAAAGTGTGCGAGAGGGTGTAGATATAGTGTGTATTTCCTGGGTAATGACGTTCGTAGCGTTTCACAACAACAAAAACTGTTTTTCCGTTATAATCATACAGCGTTATTACGCTGGAAGAGGTTATTTTTTGCAAGGGCGAGAATAACTTGTGAACTTTCTCATTTTTTAAAAATTCTTCTTATTCTTCCTAGTACGTGCAAGACCATCGGTATGATTTTTAGCAATGTCTTATGAAAAAGATATGATAGAATGATAGCAAAATGACTTTACATTGCAAATTTTATACGATGCATGGTTGGGAAGTCTTACCCTGACAGTAAGTGTACAAGTGGCGCTTTTTATAAATGATTTGTTTTCTTCAACAAGATTGACTTAACATGTTATCATTTTGAGGATTCCGAAGTGGCCCATGATTAAGCCGTCCTAATAACTTTTTGACAGTTTCTCTCACATAACTATTGTATGACCGGTACTCAACATTTCCCTAAATAATGCGGATTTATTCTGAATGAGATGGATTTATAAAATTTGTGAATTACGGAAGATAACATTGTTATTTGCATAGAGCTGGACCTGATTTTAGGACAAAGTGATCAAACCCAAACAGTATAAATTCATGGACCTTTTGGAAAATGCGAGACCATGGAGGGCATGCGGGTGGCACAAGGGAGCACCTACCTCGGCGGGTTTCAGACCACACCAAGAACACCTAGGGAAGGCAAAAAACGATAAGGTGTCAGTTTTCGACGGCCGGGCATTGTATACTATAGAGATGCCCACGTCTTTGATTCCCCCGGCGCCGATGCGGTGTCAGGACACCTCTCACGTCCCGTCCCAGGGCGCTTCCCATGTCATGAGACACCTGAGATTCTTTCCTCCACGGTTCGCTGTCGAGAGACCTCAAGTGGTCTTTCATACCGAAATATGTATGCACATTGCGGATGGATGAGTGAGGCGAAGGATAGAAGAACCTGAAACTTGACCCAAGAGCACGACGCCTGTTGAGGAAAACCCGATTCATATTTTCCCGACCGGCTTTGATAATGTTGTCGTACTTCAGATATCGAGTTCGATGTAGTCTGAAGTGATATGAAATACAGCAAGCCTTTTTGTCTTTAGCAAGGTACCCCTAGAAGGATCCATTTGGACATGACATTTAAAGTCAAGAGTACATTTTCGAGTTGGCTATACGTCTTTCGAAGTACCACTTGAACTATGAGTGAAAAGGAGAGTACGTATCTTTGTAAAACACTTCCTCAAAAAAATAAACGATGTCAAGTTTTATACTCCATTTGAAGCTCTTTTACTTAGAGGCCCAACGACTAAAACGATCGCAACGAATTTCGAAAATTCAAGTTAGGGCAACTTCAGTAGAATTGTTCGTCATCTATTGAAATGAGTGAACATGACGAAGACATTACGTAAACCAAACATGATTTCTGTAAGTAGGACAATATTTTTGGGTAAAATGCTCTTTGGTAAATTTCTTCAAAGTCCTTAGAATCGTGTGAACTAAGCAACACATTGTAATGTAGAATGTGTTCTGCTAAGAAGTAAAGAGTTATATGTATATGGTGTAAAAATAATTCTGCTTTGCTCTTTAAGACGAACTCTTACGATCGGACCTAGTAGAATACGTGAACGTTCACGGTGGATTTTGCGCTTCGACATTGAAGTCGAAGTTCGACACCCATTGGTGATTCTTAAAATAGAGCGGCTATCTTCTTATCCCCAAGGGTCTGAAAGACTACACCAAGTGCGTATACCAAGGTCTCGCTGGGAGGATGAAGAGGGGCGCTTCTGTTACCCGTAAAGCCTCTAGGGACCTAGAGTGTGACCTTGAAGGATGCACTTCAGGGTCGTTTTCTGCCGTTTCCGATGAAGAATGCAGCTATTTTGGTAGTGCAGGGGGTATCTGAGATGTAGCGTAAATAATACGTGCGAGAACTTGGAAATAAAAGTCACTTGTGAAAACGTAAGTAGGATTAGATATTCGAGAAACATCTATGCAAATGAGAAGGGGATGAATAGATGAAGAGAGGTAATGGTGGTAGACAAGTAGCGAAACATGAGGATGTGGGTCGGGTTAAATACAAAGTATCTTCATTACAACAACTGAAAAAACAAACCTACCAATATTACCACTACTACTGCTACATGTAGATGATATTACCGCTACAGCTGTACTACTACTGCCTACTACTTTTATAATTAGTAATAGTTATGATAGTAATAATGATGATAATACAAAATTTTAAAAATAATAGAAATAATACGTCTTCTAATGATGATGATTATTAATGATAAGAGGCATCTGCAAGGCCCCGTTTATGTGGACATTATATTCCTAAAAGCACATAGAAAATAGAAATGAAGGAAGGGTCAACATGAACTATGGCGAGATCATTAAATACCGACAAAGATAGATTGGTTTCACTTAACACGTGCAAGAAGACGGACGATAAACCTGAATAAAAAGGACACACTAAATCAAGAAACTCAGTAGGAAAAGGGGAAAAGGGCCTATTAAGTATGAAAATACTTTTTACACGACGGTCATCACTTGTATCAACATTGGCAATATCGTGTTAGAATCCATACTGTGTGATATGAACGAAAACAAATATGTTAGGATGACATCATCTGCAGTGATGATCATCATGAGTGGCTCTTGCCCTTGATCATGAAGGGATTATTGCGTGAAGCTGAAACAATAATCCCCGCGTTTATCCGTCTTCGGCTATGTAAACACTCATTCATTTGAAGCATGAGTCGATGATATATGAAATACAATCCTCTGAACTTTTTTAATGAGTTTCTGGCCTGGTTGGTGACGACATGGCCGGCGACCACATCAGGATCATGACACATTGATGAATGTATCTGTGTCCATTCTATGGTTTGAATATTGAAATAATCGATGTGCCAG